ATAGAACAAGGGCTTCGGACCTTTTTTGGGCTGGTAAATTGTGGGAAGGTCCCTGGGGAATGTGTGCTAGAAAAGGGTGGTTTAGTAAGCTTTGCTCTGCAGACTCATCGGCTGCCTCTGGTCTTCCTGGCACTTTAGAAGGGAACACCTTTAGGAAGGGGTATTAATGTCACCTGGACAAACGGAAGTTTATGCCTCAGGCAGGCAGAAGGGGTGTCTGCTGTTCCTTACTTGCCTTCAGCTCAAAGTAATGCCATGGCAAAGGGGCATATTTGGGGCTAGCATGCTCTGACCCCCCTCAACAGACTCTATACTTAAGGGCAGTGAGAAAGTTAAAAAGTTCACTTTGCTTGCTGAAAAAAAATGGGTATTATTGGGATAAATGAAGAATCTTGTTTGGTTTTTTTTTTCCCCACAAAGAAAGAATGCTGTACATCCGTGTCCTGGTGGTGTCATCAGTTGGGTATTCTACTGTCTACTGTGTTAAACGTGATTGCTTTCGATTCCATTTCACTACCTCTTTTCAGGATACAGAGAGTCTTCAGGTTGTTTACATATCATGGAGAAGAGTAAACAATGTAAAGATGATGGTGAGGGAAAGAAGTCCAGCTCAGTTCATGCCTTCTTCTGATAGCCCTTTGGGCAGGTTTGTGTGACTAAAGCAGAATAGTCACCAGAGTGTTGCCATGAAGATAATTATTCATGGAGCATTTTTATTGTCCCCTTCTAATAAAATGAAAAGGAAAAAGGACTCTAGATGAGCTTTTAAGAAATGGGTGAGCCTAAAATCGAACAATTATGATGAATCTAAAATTAAAGAGTTAGGAATAACAAAAAAGCCGTATGTTTTTCATCTGCCTGATTTTGAAGGAACAAATTACCTGCGAAAAAACCGGATTAATGTGATTCGAAATACGTGTACTAGAAGATTCCCAGAATGGATGCCTTAAAAAGTCACTGGTGCACTTAAAGCATTTTACTTTGTTTATTCCAAAACCTCTTAGTGCTGAAAATGAGATGCAGCTTTATCTACTTGTGAAAAATAAAAGTGCAACTTAATGATTCAGTAAACTTGTGCTCAAAACCACCTGAGTGCTAAGCCCTGGGGTAGAAAAATGAAGAGGACCCTGCCACGGAAGAGCTTATGAGCTCTAAGGGGTAGGATACGCACACATGCACACAGCGCGTGGATGCTCCCATAGGAGTGTGAACAGGGTTCATCCTGGTGCAAAAGGGAGTGTGATTAATCCTGGGCTCTGGGTTAGAATGAGAGGGCGCAGGTAGGCTTATAGGTCGTCAATAGAATTGTCGGGGAGGAAGAACTTCCTCTGCCCTGCGGTCCTTCCAGCTGGACTTAGACTCCAGTTGCCATGAGACAGATGAACAGGAGAAAATCAAATTTAATAGGCATATGTATGGGACGCCACACAGGCGGATGGCGAAGATAGTGAGGCCCTGTGATGCTTACAGGAGCCGAGGACAAGGGAAGGGTCTGCAGATCCAAAGTGGAGAAGGCCTTTAGCAGGAAGCTAAAGGAGATGATTTGAAAAACAAAGGCTGCTCTATTATGCAAATAAGTTTCTTAGGTAAAGAGGAGTCTGTGTTAATTGCTCTCTTCCTCGTACAGGCTCCCCTTTTCAATGCAAATTTAGGCAGTTGAGAGGAGGGGAGAGAGAGAGGCAGGCAGGTATCTTTTCCTGCATCTGCTGGGTTTTGATTACTTTGAACTTGAAATAATCTTTTTGCCAAAGTGGACTATCTTGGGGCAGCTTGCCCTTTTGTGTTTATAGTTATGTGTATGGGTATGTTGTAAATTCTTAGAAACTTTTTTTTTTACATTTAGCGAACACTACACCTGTCTGTCTCGTTGTATACTTAGTAAGGTAGTAATCGCTGTTAAGTATTTTGAGATTCTGCATTCTTAAAAAATGAAAATTTTTTCTTCCTCTCCATGTTAGTAAATTGAAAAACGAACTTTCCACCTAATGAAAGAAATTTGACAATTTCAAATTAGAACGAAAAGTTTTTTCTTTGAAATCTGGTAAATCAAGTGAAGGACCTTAAAACTTCATATATATGATACCTAACATTGTAATTCTGTGTTCCTTTCTTTGGTTAGTCAACATTTTTTCAAAGTACTTAAGAATGATATGCAACTATTACAATAAGATTTGCAGTTCATAATTTCATTTACTTTGCTTTTAGATATTTTCAAGTTTTAATTTGGAAGACTACTCTTTTCTAACTTATTTCTGTTGAATTTACAGTGGCAAATGAAAAAACTTAAATAGGCAATCATCCAAATGCCTACTTTAAGATATTATGTTTTGTGAAAGGCTTACCCTCTTTTGTACCATCCTGCATTTCATTTGGAAATAGCTTTTATTTCATATCAAACAGTATTGATATCATATCAATCAATATCATATCATATCAGTTTGATATTCATATCAAACAGTAATCTTTAAAAGTATGATTGATGTATTATGTATTTTCCCTTAAGTGGCTATGAATTCATTGTTGTGGCTTTTTTCCCCCTTCTGAGTGGTGTAGCTGTAGAACTACATTTTCTCTATCTGTTTTGCCCAATTAAGTTCATTGCTTATCTGGGGCGCTTGGGTGGCTCAGTTGGTTGAGCGTCCGACTTTGGCTCAGGTCACGATCTCACGGCCCGTGAGTTCGAGCCCCGCGTTGGGCTCTGTGCTGACAGCTCAAAGCTTGGAGCCTGCTTCATGTTCTGGGTCTCCCTCTCTCTCTCAAAAATAAATAAACATTAAAAAAAGTTTTAAAAAATTCATTGCTTATCTTACTGTCTCTGGCTACTGTAGAGGCCACTTTTAGGCAGCAGGCTTGAGCAGTGGAAACTCAAGGCAAAAGGGCCCAGAGCGACCACCAAGCTGAATGCAGAGAGGCTCATTAAGTGACCCACCAGGAACGGCCGTAGGCACTAACTAGCCAACGGGCCACTGACAGCCAGGCACAGCTACCAAAAACGGGAGAGTTCCATATGTTCCCATCCTTCCTCACTCCACCCTGTAACTAAAGCCCCTCACCATCACCTCCTGGAGGAGTGTCTCCTCTGCTGTCCTGCCTGCTGCTTTCTGCAGTGTATTCAGTAAACTTCCATCTCCCTTGCTCCGCCTGGGGTGAATCCTTTCACTGCCTGCGCCACCGGCCCCCATCTAATCAGCACACACCGGAATTACCACAGTCAATCTAAAATAACACCTTTTCATAACTTGTCTGTTATCTGCCCTTCAGAGGCTACAGCCTAGCAGTCTGTTACCCAAGCCCAGAGCAGGATAGCAAAAGGAGGGTCTCTTCTTGTATGGTTCAAGTGCTGACTTCAGCTTGAGGGCAGGCAGGTCTCCAAAGAGTAGTAACCTTTAAATGGGAGTGTGTCATCCAAGGAACTTAAGCCAGAAAACAGTCGCATCGCTGCAGTACCATAAACCCAGTGCGTTGTAGCCAATGGACTCGAAGCAGTTCTGGCTTTTCGGTGAGAGAACGGGGATTGCTCACAGACAAGAAACTCCCTTTTAACCCTGCGTAGATCAAACTATTGGCTTAGGGTTTGGTTTTGTTTTGTTGGCACTGATTTCCTTTATTAATAAAAATTTAAGCAAATATCTAAACAATTATGTGTTACAAATTACATGTATAGCACTGAATAGTTTTCTGAGGAAGATCCTAGAAATCTCAGTCTGAGTTCCTGACGTCCAGACAGACCTCTATGCCCTCTGTTTCCATTTTTCTACAGAGATGCTGGGTTAATGTCATTTTCTTTCTTCTGTTGTTAAGATAGTAATGAAGAGTGTTGCCACCAATATATCTGTGTGGATATCTAAAAAGCCTTGCTTGATTCATAATCTTGCATAATCCATGATCACAAGGTACAGAAACAAAAATGCCCTGAGTAAAAAAATACCACTGTTAGCAGTCCTTTCCTTTAAAGTCTTTAAAAATATACTTTTAACTTCTTTAAATAATTATGAAACATTTACATTTAAGACATGCAGAACTACAGAAAAACTTCTATAACGAACACCTGTGTTCCCACCATCCGGTTTAAGAAATAAAACATGACTTCTAAGAGTTGAAGCCGCTGTGTACCCTCCCATGTTGAAGCCTCCCCCCTTTGCTGGAAGTCACCTGTATCCTGAACTTTCTTGTTCTCTTGTTTTATTTCTTAGTTTTTAATTTTCTTAACTAAGTTCCATGTCCATCATGGGGCTTGAATTCGTGACTCTGAGATCAAGAGTCACATGTTCCACCGACTGAGCCAGCCAGGCACCCCAGCGAGTGTTCTTCACAGAGCTACCGAGAGTCCTAATCATGAACCGTGTTTCCCTGTTACAAAATCACGTTTTAGTCTTGAGTGCGGTATTCAGAAGACTTTTCCATTCTGATTCGGGTCTCTGTGGGGTCTCCCTGCTCCAGCTCACCAGCCCTGCAGGTAGCTTGGTCTGACTGCGATACCGCTAAGATGCCTCAACAGGTCTCAGACACTACCGATTCCATTTCTTCGTCCACCTTTTCATGAACGTCCTTCCTTCGTCTCATTTGCTGAAATCACACCTAATGGATGCTGCTTCTACTCCACAGTTGACAGTTCTTTAATATAAAATGTGCCGTATTTTCATCAAGTTTGCATTACGTCTCATTACAGTTGTATGTATCCATGGCTGTCTCGGTACACGGTAGGCTTTTTGAAGGGAGGCGTATCTTACAAAAAGGGTTCCGGAGATTGTAAGCGGTCAGTAAATGCTTCTGCTTTTCTCATGAGGATGTTGATCATTCTGTTCCACTGTATGACCTGCTCTGCACTAACTACGATAAACCTGTGCCACTTATGGTCTCTGATGCTTCTGAGAGAAATCTAATCTTTGTCCATCCTGGATGGAGATATTCATGACGTTGCCGATTCTTTGACCTGTTTTGTTACAGTGGTGCATGTTTTGAGATGTTAAAGTAACGTTTCTTTCTGTTTTATCTTTCAGATATTGCTATATGGAGATTTGCCAAAAAATAAAGAAAACATAATATATTTAGCAAATCATCAAAGCACAGGTTTGTATTTCATTTGCATGAAATGTAGGTTTTCTACAGAAAGTAGATGGGCTTTCAAAGTGATGTTTTTATTCCTCTAAATGAATTTTTGTTGCTGTTAAAACATGAATTTTCAATGCAGACATTATATCATGATCTTATATTTTTATGATTTTACTTTTTTGGAAAGTCAGGAATATGAAAACTGGATTTTCCTAAACTTACCCTTCTCCCTTGAATGGGTGTAAATAAGCCATTTTCTTTCATTTATTCTGTTTCTTTGAATAGTTCTTTAAATAATTTATGCCTTCTTTTTTAAGTTATGTTTCTGGAAGTAAAATTGGGTCAAAGGGTATACACATCTTACATATTTGACTGTTAAGTTGCAGAAAGGTTGTGCTAGTAAGTGACTACTCCTTCCCTAGAGACAGTACTGTATTAATTTCTAATATCTGCAGTTCCTTTTGCCTCATCAAATGTTTTGCTTTAATTATAGCTTGCTGTTCTGTCTGAAGAAACACAGAAGACTCTGGTCTTCGATTATAGTGCCGTGTATACTTTAAGGCACTTTAAAAAAAACTTCTTATTTTGAAATAATTATAGATTCTCAAGAACTTGCGAAAATAGTATATGGAGTCCATGACGTGTTAATCAATTTCCCCAGGGATGGCGTGTTATGTAGCTGTTGTACAGTATCGAAACCCAAGAAACTGGTCCTGGTTCAGGTACTTTTTAGTTCAACAAATAATTCAGTCCAGAGGAAATCCCACTTCTTTTTATCAAACCCGTAACTGCTTCTGATGCGCCCTCGCCAAAGTCCATTTTTATTACTTTAAAAAGTGTAGTACCCAGGAGTTCAAAGCCATACCAGCCTGATGGACGATTGTACCGTAATGGAAAATCACTTCAGCCTTGGCTGTTTATCTTCCTCCTGTCAACGGTGTACCTTCACGATTATGATTTGGCTGCTTTTAGCACTGCCTGTGCCCTAGGTAAGGTAGAGGAAGGAGGCAGAGGTTGAAGTGCATTTTTCTCAGTTTTGCTCATTGGTGATTATGCTCTGCTTTATGGGACAAGAGTTGATTTTATGGGACAAGGGTTGATAGGAGTTTTGAGGCAGCCGAGCCACAAGATGACAGTCAGTGTCTGCTTCTAACGCTGGCCTGTAGGGCAGGCCAGGGATTTCAGTGTTTCTCCGGATGTGCCGGGCTTCCCTACCACCAGCGTCCTGCTCCTGCTGTCTGCTGCCGATGACGCATGTCTCCCGGGCTTCTAATCTCTGAATGTGAAGGACTCAGGGGTCCAGGGTAGGGAGCGGCTCACGCTGGCCCAGATTTCCTTTGCATTGACCCACTGGTTAATTTCATTAAAGTTTTTTTTGGCCTAAGAGGATTCTGTCTTCAGATTCGTTGTTCAGGTTCCCTGCCCGGCCCCCCCCCCCCGTTTTCCAGGTTTCGGTGTGGAAATAGTTGATGAATGGCACCGTGGAGCTAGCGTGAACACATGCCTGGAGGCGGTGGGGACAAATAGTAACAATAAGATAACCGCTACTGTCATGCCAGTGTGGGTGCTTCCTACGCGCTGGCCTTTATATACGTTACTTCGGAGGGAGGGCTTTTGGAAGAGAGCGGTTTTGTTTTGTTTCCTGCTTGTGTTTGGAGCTAGAAAGCAATATGGGAAGTATGAGCTCCACAGTCAGCCCACACCTGGCCTGAAGAAAGGTCTCACTTCCCAGGTTGGAGAGCCATGCCCTCGTCCCCTTAACCTGACCCCGAGGGCCTCAGACTTCCTGGTAGTGGGTCCTATACCAGTCAGCCTTCAGGATTGGAGAAAGGCGCTTTTCTGAATGCCTGTTTAAAAACCCACAGCTTGGGAACGTAACCAGATAGTGATGTTAAATTACGTTAGAATTGCCGGTTTTAGTCAGAATATGAAGGAATATGCCCAGAAAAATGAGCACATACAAATTTGTGTGTAGTTCCCGGTTCCAGAGGCCCCCAAGGCTTATGCATGTCCACGGGTCATTGGCCGGTGGTGTCTGGGTGCCCTTTTTAAAACCCCTCTGAGATTATTAACCGCAAATGAGTATCTAAAAACGTAACTAGCAGAAAGAATATTTCCGTGTTCACCTTAGACTTTCCAGCCCACCATCTACAAGGCCTGCCCGAATCTGAATCTCTTCTCGGCCTGACCTTCCAGACAACTGACATTTTAATTAGTTTCTCTTCTCTGTTGTTTTCACTTGATGTGTCCTTTTTAGTCTCTTGTAACTTCTCTGCTGTGAGGATATAGGGGCCATTCTTCCTTCCCCTCAGCCTGTTTAAAGATCTGCTTTTGACACTGTTTGCCTCAATCTCATGAAATGCACCCTTTTCTTGGTTTAAGTGACATTTGTCTTGACTGACCGCATATGTGGTGAGTAGATGATCATAAAAAGACACGGGCTTTGCAGTCAGACCCTCGTTCATAAGCTGTTCCGCAACAGGCTGTGTGACAGTGGGCAGATTATCTAGCTTCTCAGCCTTCCCCATAGGCAGTGAGTGATGTCTACTGCTCAGGGTTTGGGGGCAATTTCCATAGGCTAGCTTCTGGTTTCTCAGCCCGCCTGGCTTATTGGGGACATTTCGCGGGCGGGCGGGGGGGGTGGTGATGATGATGGTGGTGATGGTGGTGATGGTGATGATGATGATGGTGGTGATGATGATGATGGTGATGGTGGTGATGATGATGATGGTGATGATGGTGATGGTGATGATGATGATGATGATGGTGGTGATGATGATGATGATGGTGGTGATGATGATGATGATGATGGTGATGATGATGATGATGGTGATGATGATG